CCGAGCAGCAGCCAGCCATTGTTGAATTGGGAGGAATCCGTAGAAGTCCTGGGCCTATTCGTGTAGGAGAAAGAAGGGAGAGGGGAGAAAAAAGCAGGCAGATGCCCGTGATCTACTATCAGTTCTTGTAATCACGTATGAACAGACAGAATCCCTATCCAACTGCTTAGCTCTTGAAATCCATGCAGAAAATGCGACAGCTATCAGTTTGTAATGCTGAAGACGATTGCCTTAAATAATTCCACCTATCTCCTTTCTGCCTTTGACTGACCATAAGAGAATATAATGATACTCTCTCTCTCTCTCTCATCTGTTCAGAATATTTTGCTCACATTATGTTGAATCACATGTTGCATGTGTATTTTCATCGAATAAAGTCGAATTGTTTATAGAGGACCGGGTAATATTGTTTGTCTTACAATCGCTATTTTTGATGGTGTCTACCAGTAGTAAGATTATAAGTAATGACGAAGAGATGAAATATGATATAATAGAGTAAGAATATAGAAAGTTTAGAAATAAATATGTAAGTACAAAATCACAATAGCAGCAGAAATTTAATTTCTAGATATTAGTGAGAATAAATAAAAGAGAAATCACCAAGTTATCAAAAATTATGATGAGAACAAGACTTCCACAAAATACCTCTAATCTATGTCTAAATACCTTTGAGACGACCCAAATACTAGAGAGTCAGTAATAAACTCTTATCTCTCTGTAAAGACTTTACCTATAATAGAAGAGAAAGGAGAAACGAAGAAAGAGGAATAGAGTTAATAGAGAGAGAATTGAATCAAAGAGGAGAGATAAATTTCATTATTATTGTATTAAAAAAAGAGAAATATATACGCTATTTATAGAAAACAATAAAAGATAATCGCCTCTTTAAAAGAGATATCTTAACCTACGTGATGGGTTGACACTGTCAACAGGAAAGAAAAGCTGATGTAGCAAGTAACGCATTCCCAATACTTTGCATTGTAGTTCTCATTGCAACTAGGAGGAAACTCCCTTCACAGCGTTTGGAGAATCAATCACAGCCTCACCTTCTCTGACTGAGACCTCGCAAGCTGTGAGCACTGCTTGCAGTCACAGCTGTACTTGCCTTTCCTTGTGGCGGTGTTAATGTCCATGCAGCAGGCCTGAGTTACCGAGAACACGCAGCCGGATTACAGAGGAGGTGCCTCGCCGGCGACGTCCAATAAGGACGAGGACGATGCAGGCACACCCACTGCGGGAGGACGGACTGAGTCCTCGTGTACGGAATGGAGATCAGCACTCGTAAGCTTAGGTTCGCACCATTATCGTCAACGAGAGAAATTCCAACTCTAGGATTTATTTCTTAAAAGGACACGTTAATGTTAAACAAGCGTGGGAGATGATTTTGTGGGTCTCAGAAAACGTTTACGAGGGTCGAAGTAATCAAGCTCGAAGTAGCGTAGCATGTTGATTGGTTGTATCTTGAAAGAAAACTGATTTTGTTCCTAGGGAGGGTTTTCACCCAGTCTCTTGTTAATGGGGTGAAAGCGACGAATCTTACGGTATGAAGCCCCGGTTCGTACCACGGCAGGTCCAAGAGGCATCAACCCCCTCCCTATATGCTTACCCTACTTCCACCAGGCACCTTCGTTGCCGGACTCAACGGTGCTCAGGCAACCAGCCAGGAAGGACCAGCAGAAGGCGCCAAGCGCCCCTCCACCGTTCAGTCTCCGGTTTGTTGGCTGTTCGCATTCTTTCCTCTCTTTCTTTCCTCCTGAAACCCACGTGTCCCATCCTCGTTTCGACTCCCCATTTTCCTCAATCGCTGATCTTCACTCACTTGACCAACTTATTCTTTTTACAAGAAACGTAATACCCCTCGTACTCACTCTGTATCCTGCGTGGTGGTGGTCAGTGGCGGCTTCACTGATCGATGACGTGCTTCAAGTGTCAGTATTATCCCCTAAAAAAACATTGAGAAACGTCTAAAGTCAGATAGTGTGACAACGATGGACGCACTCCTGACGATCGTCACAATGTTAGAACCCCTGACAACATCTATGAGTCCGTCCGATAATAATCGATGCGAGGACGACAAATTTGTGTAGATTGATGAGAACAAATGAGAACGAAGGAGGACAAATGTGATAAATGATATAATCCAATGCGTACAGTGACAAAAGAATCCTGACTTTTAGTAGTATTTCAAATTTTCACGGCAGACGATGTCAGGGAGAGAGTAGCCCCAGTTGCATTATTGGGCCCCCTCGCTGTCCAACATCCACGTCGCTCTGACCATGCAGTCTATTCAAGCCAGGCGGAAGACTTGTCTTCATCCAGGGATAAGTATATTCTCTCTCATAGAATACAAGAACGAGTCGGGGGAAGGAGGAAGACCCCGCTTCGCCTTTCCACGTGGAGGTCGGACTTCCCCGTTTCTCTCCTCTCCGTAACGTAAGAACAAGCGTCCAACGCTTTCCCTGCCTACAACGTTCGTCCGGTCTGCCGATCTGTTGGTTCTCCTGATCCCAGGCCCCTCCATGAATCGTTGCCTGATCCGCCTGCTATTGGCGCGGGTTCGCTCCACAAACCGGGTCTTAAAACCTTCCGGTGTGACATGGTGACGAAGGAGACTGGTATCTGGACTTTTCTCGCACATGTTCGGCTAAGAGAGCCATTCAGGCGTCAGTACGTGACGTGTAAGGAGGTTCCAGAGTGGCCCCCAGCAGCATCGCTTCTGACACCGAAAGAGACTCATTTGTAGCTCCAGGCGGCTAAGGAGAGTTCTCTCTACCTCCAAACGTTTTACTGCATGACGTTCTGAGTGCTTCTTAGTATTTTTAGTCACTGTCTCCTTCTCTGCTGGCTTCTTTTTCTTTTTCTTTTTCTTCTGCTTCTACCAACACTTCTTCTGCTAAGTTTCCTCTACTACCATTCTTCATATGCCGTGCTACTGCTAGAATTCCTTCTTCCTTTTATTCTGCCTCAGAAAGCCGTGGTGAAGTAATGTTACCAGAGTTCTGCCCCTGCTTGATGTATAGAAGATCACTCAGGAATCATGTCATTGAGACTGGGGACGACCTCACCCCTTTGTTGGAGAGAGTTCATACAACGGTTCGGCAGAGGGAGGGGGATGATGTTGGTTACGGCATTTCTTTTCATAACTTGCGTCAACGAAAACGAGTTCAGAAATTATGTCGTAAAAGAATCATCATTCATCAACTAATGGAGGGCACGTTTCTTTGCCGGGGTAATATTTATTTGAGAAGACTTCTAGAAGATTCGTGACAATAAATCAGGTTGATAAATATCTCATTATTTTCATCAAGATTGTTCCACCACTATGAGGTATAACCACTTGGTTCTGAATGAAGTTGAGAGATATGTGTACATTGATTACCATTAATATCATTATGAACTGTTGTTAATGTGACATGTTCTCGAGGCAACCGTTGTGGGCAAACTTCTCAAGGTCAATGATGTGGACATACTACCAAAGTCATGAATTAGGGATTAGTTTGAGGGTTAAGATTAGGGATTTATTCTATTCTCATCTAGTTGAACTTTTAATTTTATTGTGAGTTAATCCTTCTCCTCTGTTTGGCTTCACATCGTATAGATCATGAAAGCAGTGTTGTGCAAGTTCATATTGGAGTTTTGCTCTAGCATGAACAATGTTGTACATATACCGATAACTCAGCTATATAGAACAGCATGATATGTTATGTATGATTTCGTTGCAAGCTGTGAAGTTTCTCTAGTACCTACAACATTATCTGCTTTTCTTGGTGGTTTTGCTCTATGATAAAGTAGTCCGCACGTGAACGCACAAACCTAAACTCGAAGAAATACACGCACTAAAAGCCGTAAGTTTTACCTTACGTATTGCCACATTATTTTCATTTCTGCTGTTATCCAGACGATTCTGATAAGAATAATTTCGCATATTTCAGTGAAAAGTCGGTCGTTTGGTTCACCACTCAGAAAAGTGGTCACTTGGCCTCGTTGATTTTTCTACGGATTAACGATATAAGTATATGAACACCACCAAATTATTGCCTATGTTTGTCGTTGTGGAAGTAGAAAATATGCACATCCCAAAGATGTGACCACCGACAAACTATCTGAATGAGTCAAGGTCCAATCGAACTATTGGGCGGGCAGTCACCGTCGAATGAAAACGCCATTCTCCGGAATCAAAATTTGACTCAGAGCACGAGCTGTTAGCTCAAAATGGCGCTGGACCGATGTGCACTACTTCTGGCACGTGGTCACTAGGAGGGCCTTTCAAGCGGTAGACCCATGGGCACCGGGGTCAAAGAGCATCCGGATTCGTTTTCCCTTTCATCCAGTCCACAGACGTGCACTTGATCAGGTCCCTGAACCCCAGCGGCTCAGAAGATGTCTTCTGCTTGCCTTTTCTTACTATAAAGATTATTAAAAGACCTTCGGAATTTGTGCCTCTTTAATCACCGCCACCTCGACCTTTGTTTTCTTATTCTTGTTCTTCGTATTCTCCCTCCACTTAGGCCGCGTCCCTAACCCACGCGGCGAAGGAGACGCCTCTGGTGGCTAGTCCCTACCCCCGCCATCTCGTCCGCTTTCTTCGTTTCTTGTTCTTCTTATTCTCCCTCTATTAAACCAAATCCCTAGCCGCCCCCCCCCAAGGAGGCGTCCTTTGCTTGTCTCTTCTTGCTGTAACAAGAACACCTTCCGACGAACTCCCTCTTTATTCACCAAATCCTCGTCCTCCGTTCCCTTGTTGTTCCTGTTCTTCTTATTCTCCCTTCACGATCACCATCCTTGTAGCTACCATTCTCTTTTCCGTCGTCCTGTCTTTAGAACTAGTTCTGCTTTTTCTTCTTTCTTGGAGAGCTGTTCTTTTGCTTCTGAAGATAACTTGTTCTGGTGAAGATACCTAGATGGAGAGACCAGTGGAGATGCTGAAGTAGTGCTACTGTGTTTCTCGACTTCTCTGAGCTGTAGACCAATCCGCGATCAGAACATTCGACGAAGGAGCCATGGCTCTGCCCGAGCTATCCCGTTCGGCGGGCAGCAGCCGGACAAGCATGGGGAGGCGTCGTTCCGGAAGCTTTCGGGAGTTGTGGACCGACCCATCGGACGTGTTCCACTCTAGGGGGAACGAGGAGGATGATGAAGCCACTCTTCGATTGGCAGCCCTGTGGAAGCTAGCTGGGTCGCGGAGGGAAGTCGAGCAGTACCTGTCGGGCTGCAACGCTGTCGACGTCGCCTCTTTCAGCAGCCAGGAAGGGAAGATCTTCATGGACAGTGCCCGAGAGATCATCGAGGACAATGAGCGGCTCCTCCGCCGCCTCAGGGAACGAATAGACAGGTCTGTTTTCCTTCTTCCTGTTTATATGTTTAATAGATTAGTGGGTATAATTTTTTTTAATTTGGGCTTATTTCTAACGTGCAACAGAGTGGGGATTGAAATGCCAAAGATTGAAATCCGGTTCGAAAATTTATCGGTAGAAGCAGATGCATACGTGGGAAAGAGGGCTCTTCCCACGCTCCTAAACTCCGCAATCAACGCAATAGAAGTCTGAATTTCCTTGCCATCGTATTTTCGATATTTTCTGAATCATTCTTCCTCATCCTGTTCCGTTAATCTTATCTTAGGTCTAACTGAGAGGTGAATTTCCGTATGATTCCGCAGGGAATTGTCGGCTTGGTTGGTCTGTCCCTCTCCAAGAAAGCGGTCAATAAGATCTTAACAGGTGTCTCGGGAATTTTGAAGCCTTCAAGGTACGTCGACGGAGTCGTCACAGTGAAACCAGTAAAACTAGCGAAATAATAGGAATTCGGAACTCTTAAGATAATATCCTTCTGAAAGTTATTTGAGACGGCCTTTCTCCGTCAGAGATGCCTCCTGTTGACCTCTACTTAGAATCAGTAGTCAGGACGACAAGAGCTCTCCTCGGTTCGTTTGAACCATAATTCTTTCATTCAGGATGGTTCTTCTTCTGGGCCCCCCCGGATCAGGGAAGACAACTCTATTATTGGCTCTTGCAGGAAAGCTAGACAAGAGCCTCAGGGTAAAGTCGAACCTAATTAGTTAATTGCCAGTCAATCGACCTTCTCCTCTTTTTGACGAATCAAATCGTTCAACAGGTAGATGGCGGGATCTCTTACTGCGGCCACGCGCTGACGGAGTTCATCCCCCAGAGGACTAGTGCGTACATCGGTCAACACGATCTTCACCTCGGCGAGATGACCGTTAGAGAAACTTTAGGCTTCTCTGGGCGGTGTCTGGGCGTCGGATCCAATCACGAGATGCTGTTGGAAATGTCGAGACTGGAGAGGGAGGCTGGAATAAATCCAGACCCTGAAATTGAAACATTCATGAAGGGTACCATGTCACGAGAAAACGGCCAAAGTGTAGCCACGGATCACATTCTCAAGGTCTTCCGTTTTGTCTAGTTCGTCAAGTTTCCCCTTTTTATTTAGTATCTGAGAATACGTACTGACCTATTATCGATCAATCCGGCAAACGTCATGGGCAGATGCTCGGGCTAGATGCGTGTGCTGATGTCTTAGTAGGTGACGAAATGAGGCGAGGAATCTCCGGGGGACAGAAGAAACGTGTGACTGTCGGTAAGGGAGCGATGACAGAGGTTTGAGACCAAGATAAATTCAGCACTTAACGACGTTCCTCCAGTTATCAGGCCGCCACATGCACAATAATAACACATAACTCTTCAATTCGCTCGCCACTTGTAGGTTTCGTTATATTTTTACCACACAATCTTACTGCAACTATCTTTGGGCTTCCAGGTGAGATGCTGGTTGGACCGGCGAGAGCCCTATTCATGGACGAGATATCTAATGGTTTGGACGCCTCCACAGCCTTTCAGATCGTGAAGTTCCTGCGGCAGATTGTTCACACGCTGGATGTAACCATGGTCATCTCCCTTCTTCAGCCGGCTCCCGAAACCTTTGACCTTTTCGATGACATCATCTTGCTGTCGGAGGGGAAGATCGTATATCAGGGTCCTCGTGAGAAGGTTCTCGATTTCTTTGAGTTCATTGGCTTCAAATGCCCCGAAAGGAAAGGGATCCCTGAGTTTCTTCAGGAGGTGACGTCTAGAAATGATCAGGAGCAATATTGGACCCTGAAGGAACGGACGTACAGGTACATATCAGTTAACGAGTTCGTCGAAGCTTTCAACTCGTTCCACATTGGCATGCAGATGAAAGGAGACCTTGAGGTGGCTTATGATAGATCCAAAACTCATCCAGCTGCATTAGCCAAGGACAAATACGGCAACCCTAGCTGGGAGCTCTTCAAGGTATGCTTTACGCGAGAGTGGTTGCTGATGAAGAAAAACGCAGTTCTCTATATATTTAAAACCGGCCAACTGATATTCCTAGCTGCGCTTGGAACTAGTGTCTTCCCGAGGACACAGATGCACCGCGAGTCGATCGCCGATGGGGGGAAGTATTTGGGGGCGCTATTTTACGGCCTGGTTTGTGTGATGTTTAATGGGATGGCGGAGATCATAATGACTGTTGTGCGGCTGCCTGTCCACTATAAACAGAGAGATTTATTATTCTATCCTTCTTGGGCGTTCGGCTTGCCATTGGTTCTCCTGAAAGTTCCGATCTCACTTTTGGAATCAGCCATCTGGGTCTCTATCACCTACTATGGAATGGGGTTTGCACCACCCGCCGGGAGGTAGGAGGATACACCACGCTGTGCTTTTGTCATTGTGCCGACTGAAAACATTATTAGCATGCTGGGTCCAGCTTCTTACCTTGCGTTAATTTCAATTTGAGCTCCCATAGTTTTGTGGTGATCACTAACTGGACGGTGACTAGGGATTCAACTGATACTCTTCCGATATATTCAGATTTTTCCGGCAAATTTTGGCGTTCTTTTGGACGCATCAGGTGGCTATGGCTTTGTTTCGGTTCATAGGCGCAGCTGGAAGATCGATGGTGGCTGCCAACTCCGTCGGTGTTTTTGGCTTGCTCATTATGTTTGCGCTCTCAGGATTTGTCATATCTAAAGGTAATAAAATCGATACCATTATTTCGCGCCCCCATAAATACATGCATGACTGGATATAGTTACCAGATGAGTTGTTTTGTCGATTGGTTAAATGTTTACGATTAGGACTTCTAAAGCTATCTGGTTCGTATTACTGTTTCACACATGTATACTGCATCAATATCTGTGTTCTAATATAGCCACTGATATACTGCTATACAGTCCATCTGTTCGAAAGTCTATACTAAACCCGCGTTGGTTTACCTCTTTTTTTCTCTAAGACGACCTCGACGCGTGGTGGATATGGGGCTACTGGACCTCCCCAATGATGTACGGTCAGAATGCTCTGGCCATCAACGAGTTTCTTGATTCCAGCTGGGGCAAGGCAAAATTCCTCTCTCAGGCCTAGTTGATCTTTATATTTCTTCCGTGGTAGATAGCATTGTCCGTCTTCGCGTAATTAATGAATCTGATGGGCGATGACATTTCTGCAAGGAACAGCCGAACAACGACACCAGCATCGACGCCACCACGGTGGGAATGGCGGTTCTGAAATCTAGGGGGATCTTAGTGGATGGCTACTGGTACTGGATATCCATAGGAGCTCTGATACTCCTCACTGTATTCTACAACCTCGGCTTCGTTGCTTGCGTCACTTACCTGGACGGTAAGTGATAATCACTTATTGCTGCTGATGGACACCGGGGCTTGTGAAATATTATAACCACTTCTTGAAGTGCATTAGGAGACAAACGTCTATTAATCATTTTACGTTTCGGAAGCTAAGCATCGCTTTTCCTTCCATTTCCGGATAGAGTTTTCTCAATGCAGGGTTAATGATGACATGAAAAACTGATGTCTCATGCAGCTGTGGAGGAATCCCGTGCCATCGTCATAGATGACGACGAAGAAACAAAACTACAGGGGTTGTCGCCACCGCAGTGCGTCGAAAGAACTGGAGGGATTGCACCCGGCGGGACTTCGGCCAACGGTACCAGATTTTTCTACCTTGCTCTCTGCTCTGACTGACGCATTTGAGATGTTCCCCCGACTAATCAAGTCTTCTGACCTATCTATCTCCAGGTACCCGCGCAAACGGCGATTCTACGAGGGGAATCGTGCTGCCTTTCAAGCCTCTTTCTCTTTCATTCAATCATGTGAACTATTACGTCGACATGCCCGCCGTAAGTTTGTTCATATTTTTCTACGATTTCGACAAACTCTTTACCTTTTGAAACAAAACATGCATGTTTATCAGACATTTTCCATGATTTCTATGATCATTACACAAATATGAGACAAATCACGACATGATACTGACCCATTAGTTAACGCATAAAGGTCTTGTTCAGTTAGGATTGACATGATCTTTTAATCAGGAAATGAAGGGCCAGGGGACTGAGGAAACCTATCTCCAGCTGCTCTGCGACGTCAGCGGCGCCTTTAGACCAGGAATTCTAACGGCGTTGGTCGGCGTTAGCGGAGCCGGGAAGACAACACTGATGGATGTTCTAGCCGGAAGAAAAACTGGAGGGTACATCGAGGGAGACGTCTCCATCTCCGGTTATCCCAAAAACCAGGCGACCTTCGCTAGGGTCACCGGCTACTGCGAGCAGAACGACATACATTCCCCAAACGTCACCGTCTACGAATCTCTCGTCTACTCTGCGTGGCTCCGTCTCCCTCCCGACGTGAAACCAGAAACAAAGAAGGTGCGTTTAATGAACTTCGCTTTTCTTTCACAGACTTACTCTTCACTCCTCCATTCTCTTTCCCCACACTGTTAAGCCCATCGGACATCGTTCGCATACCTCGGTGCCTTCTATATGTTCCAGACGTTTGTGGAGGAAGTGATGGCCTTGATTGAACTGGACCAACTGAGGGACGCTCTGGTGGGTCTCCCGGGAGTTAACGGCCTCTCCACCGAGCAGAGGAAGAGGTTTACGGTCGCCGTTGAGCTGGTCGCAAATCCTTCGATCATCTTCATGGACGAGCCGACTTCGGGCCTCGACGCCAGGTCGGCGGCTATCGTCATGCGAACCGTGAGAAACACGGTGAACACGGGAAGGACGGTCGTTTGCACAATTCACCAACCCAGCATCGATATATTTGAGTCTTTTGACGAGGTACATTTCTTATTCATCTCGAATCATTTCTGATCGTACGTTTTACGCACTGATATGCTGCAATCAACTGATTTTTGTAGCTCATTTTGATGAAATTGGGAGGGCAAGTGATATACGCGGGGCCACTCGGCCAGGGATCCCGGAGTCTTATAGAGTACTTTGAAGTAAGTTCCCCGCTGCCATAGTCTGATTCACCGTGTGTGTTCTGATGATGTCAAGAACCGCCGCTTGTGCAGGCGATTCCAGGGGTTCCGAAGATTAAGGAGGGTCAGAATCCTGCCACTTGGATGCTCCAGATCAGCGTTCCTTCAGTGGAAGCTCACCTCAATCTTGATTTCGCAGACATCTACTCGAGATCCTCGTTGTATCAGTGAGTCTTCTGAGACGCTAACGTGCGAATTAAATATGTTAATTCGGAACGCCTCTTGAATGAACCTGTTCTGGTATCTTTCAGGAAAAATCAGCATATTATCGAGGAGCTAAGCACTCCTGCTCCCGGTTCACAGGATCTCTATTTTCCCACGAAGTACGCCCAGAGTTTTGTTACTCAGTGCACGGCATGCTTCTGGAAACAGTACTGGTCCTACTGGAAGAACCCCTCGTACAATGCCGTTAGATTCTTCACAACAGTTGTCATGGCTCTTATATTTGGCACACTTTTCTGGAACAAGGGCCAACAGACGTAAGCTGATTAGTTCTTTACAGAAAATCGTTCCAACAGCGTTGAATGATAAGAAAACCTCGAGCAAAACTATCGTTGAATGATGCTTTTCAATCATGACTTTTCGTCGTTGTGGCGTGAACAGGAACACCCAACAAGACGTGCTGAATCTGATGGGGGCTGTGTATTGTTTTGCTTTCTTCCTCGGATTCACTATTGGCGCAACAGTGCAGCCCGTGGTGGCTATTGAGAGAACTGTGTTCTACCGTGAGAGAGCAGGGGGCATGTACTCGGCCTTCGCCTATGCCTTTGCTCAAGTGAGAAACATTTCTGCCCATTTCCCATTATTTCCCACATGATTTGACAATGCCGGAAAATGTCTCAATTTCGTTAATTAATTGGTCTCACTGTTCGTGTTCGTGGCAGGTGGGCATTGAAGTTATCTATATTGCAGGCCAAGCCCTAGTATACTGCCTTATCTGTTACTCCATGATAGGTTTTAGCTGGCAGGTGGACAAATTCCTGTGGTTCATCTTCCTGGTGTTCATGTGCTTCCTCTACTTCGGGGCACAAGGGATGATGTCCATAGCAATCACCCCGGCATATCCAGTCGGTGGCATTGTAATGCTTCTGTTCTTCAACTTTTGGAACATCTTCAGCGGTTTCCTCATCTACAGACCAGTAAGTAAACTAGCAAACTATAAGCACGCTAGAGGATATAAATAAACCATATCACGAAAATATACCGCTCTGCTTCACTCATTGTTCATCTCATTTTAAGTTGGATAGGCTGCTCAGCATAATACTACGCCAGTGGTTACTGTTTAAGATTGGCTTTTGGCTTGTGACCGCATTAATATTGTTTATATGGCTGAAGAAATCAGACTCTGTCACAGTTTAATATTGTTTAATATTCTGTTGGATTACCTGTGGGATTAACTTTCTGTCGCAGTTAGATAATGATGATACACCTATCGAATGAGTTTTGTCCCGGCTGTCTGCAGATGCTTCCCAAGTGGTGGACGTGGTGTTACTGGACGTCACCGGTGGCGTGGACAATCTATGGGCTGATAGTGTCTCAGTTTGGGGACAGCGAGGAGATGCTTCAAATTCCAGGGCAGCCTAGCATGACGGTCAAGGCCTTCTTGAAAGAGGTGCCGGGATATGAGCGTAGTTTCTTAGGGTACGTGGCAGTAGCCCACATCGGCTTTGTGACTTTCTTCTCCCTAGTCTTCGCCTTTGGCATCAAGTTTATCAATTTCCAAAGGCGGTAGGGGTCTGTACCTTTTGGAAAATTATGCCGTAACAATAATCAATAGCTATTTTTCGGAGATCCGATAACTATAATTCAAAGATATTTTAACCCATATGGATAAGCATAGTAGAACCTGATTATATGATTTTCTTAGCTACATGCAAACGGATGAAAATAAAAATGTTCTCGGTTGGATGAGAGACCTGCTTTTCTCCAATTTTACTCTTTTTTTAAATGTGAATGCTCATTAGAACATGTTAATGCTTTTTCTTCATTTGTCATAGTTACAATGCATTTAAGCCTTTCTTGAACTCTAGGTTCGATGTGCTGTTCATCATTCAAGTCAAGACAGTCACTTCAAACTTTTTTATTTGTCTTTTACCCAAAATCAGTGCAAACCAAATGTAAATAATCCTTTAGAACATTGATCAATGTCCACAGTAGTGGTTGCTTATTTAAAGTCATAATTTTGAAGTTAACGTATATCATTCTAATATATTTTAGCTTGACTTTATAAAAAAGTCACATCATTGTTATTGTCATCAGACCACAGTTGTTATCTGAAAAGATGATATCTTTTTAATTTGAAATCATGTTGGAATGCTAGGAATCTTCATTTAAATGTTGAAAAATAAGGTTGTCCTTACGCAGGTTGGAAACCCTAACCAATTCACCTGCAAAACAAACAAAATTTCCACACCTTTACAAAAAAAAAAGTGAAGGCTTGAATGAATATGGGCCCTCATCTAAGTGAAAAGAAAGCTATTATTTCATGAAGAATAATTGAATGTAGATAGTAAAAAATAGCTGAATTAGGAAGCAAAAAATACTAGTATTGATACTTGATGTGACTTAGTCGTTGCATAGTAAATCACGTAAATTTAAAATTTATAAAACTAGAAAATACTAATTTTTAGATATTTAGAAGTATTTCTAAACAAATATATCAATTATAATTTAATAATTTTTTTTCAAAAATAGTAGAAACTTTTTAGGTCGATCACAAAGATGTAATATAATATCAAGTAATTGTTCAAAATTTAATTTAAAGAATATAATTTTTTATAAAGTTTATACTACATAATGAAAATGAAATATATTTAAAATTTGTAAAAAAGATAAATAAGGGTGCGGACGTTAAGATGATGTTAGCAACTAACGAATGCAAATTAGGCAGAAATAAAATTCTATTTGATGATTATTATATAAATAATTATAGGTAATTTAGTTGATTAAATTAAGATCTATAAAAGCTAAAAAAATGATAAATTTAAATCACATAAATTGTTATTAAATGAAGTGAAAATTAAGTTGAAAGTAAGAAAATAGAGTTCTAGCATCGCGATGGTGATGCATCGATGACGCACTAAAATCTTGAGCATTCAGGAGAATCATCGTGTAGTGTCCATATCCTCAAAGGTTCTTTTTAGAAAAGTACAATATGGGTAATATCTATATTTTTTTGAGAAGTCTAGAGATCAATGAAATGGGTTGTCGAATTGTCTTTGGCAGGTGTCAACTAGCGGAGTAGAAAAATGACAACTTTGTGATTCTTTGGTAGATAAAAGTTAGATGGAGGTGGGGCATGTGTCAAAGAGCTTCATCATTAAGTTTTCGTAGCTAAAGGAGACTCTTCATCGCATCCGGTATGCTCTCAAGAAGTGGAGACTTGTCTCCCCACAGATCATCCTTTTCTAAATAATGACTTATTCATTGATTAATCGGAGATGATTTATTTGATAGATTTATGATCGTTTTATTCATAATTATTTAGTAATTTTAGTAATAATATTCTGCAAATCACGTTGACGAGATTTTTGCCGATGATCTAACGATTTTAACAACTTGATCTTTCATCAGCGATCTACAAGAAAGTCATGATAATCAGATAAAAATACGAGTTTTGACTCTAGGACGATTCAAACCCACACTAGTTGTCTACTTACATGAGAGAGATTGAAACAAGTACTCTAATATCTTTATCAAGTGATGTCATTATGGTATATTTCTATTATAACAAAAAGGTAATTTAGGTATTCAAATCTTTGAAGCCTTTTAGGGGAAGGTGTGATGTAGATTTAGCCTCACATCACTTCTGCACAAAAGTTTTGGACAAATATATAGTAATATCACATTTGGAAGTAATGAGTCATTTTCTTCTGAATGTATGACCACTTTTTGCCTTACAACTGATTGGCAACTAGTGACATGAAAGGAGAGTGGTGCACAGGTGCCCTCATCGGTCCTAGCTACTTGAGCCCTTACTCATGGCTCCCCTTGACTGTGCTTCTAACCCACTTGTAGGCCTGGCTGGTTAGTGAGTTTCCCTCATTTTGCTATATTTTTATTTTAATTTTTTTTCCTTATTTATCTCAAAAATAATACTATAAAAATTATATAAATTTATAAAAAATCACATAATTAGTCAAAAATTCACATTAATAAATTAAAAACTATTTTTCACACTTTAACACAAATATAAGTTTATTTATTATGAGTTAAGACTAAAACTATATTATTTACTAATTATTAACTCATGATAATAAAAACTTATCAATACTTCCTTGAGAAAGATGTTGATACCTAAACATAGCTAGAAAGATCATTAACTTGTAGTTTGTTTGGGGTAGTACATATAGATTTCAGAGAAAATTGAAAGGCATTAAGAGCATTGCTGGGTGAATGGACTAACTTCATCTTAGTTGAGGGGACAAGAAAAAGTTGATCCCTTGATGTTTTAGGTAGCAAGAACCCCTTGTTTGTGAGAAGGACACAAAAGCCCTATGCTAAGCCAAGAAATGCAAGCGTTTACCCAGAGTCAACTAGCTAACTTGAGACATTAGAAAAGAATGTCAAGCCTAGTTCTGTCCATAACTATGCTTTTCATTTCAGCGGAGTGATTTGACTAACATATCACTATCCATTAATCTTATAGGCAGTCCATTAGATTGGTCCAGTAGAGAGATTTGACCAACTACTTGACTAGCAATATCTAAGGAGCTCTATATATAGAAGAGATGAAAGGACCTTTATATTGGCAATTCATGGCTCCGTGTCTTAAACCTTACCATGTTTCTAGTGTGGGGAAGGCAGCAAGCTAGATTGGTGGCCCATGTGTGGGGATGGCCAGTTCCTACCTCTTCATCAGCACCATCGGGTCCTCCCTCCCAACTACAATTGCAGCAATGGCCAACATTCATGTGGTTTTGTGAACCCAGCTTCCCTCCTATTATTTCTGAAAATTTACAAAAAATTGGCCGAAGAGATAGATGACTAGGGTTGTGCTTATCTAGAGAAAACTGGCCATTTTAAAGGTAATGAGATAGACGTTCATCTACTTCAGCTTCCAAATGTGAAACTCTTATAGAGTGAAGTAGCATGGACTTTTCTGTGCAGAAGCCAAAGACACCTCCTTACCTTACTTTGGCTGGTATACGAGTGGGAACAAGCTCAATAAGCTCCAGCAAGTGATAGAAAAGGAAATAAAATAGTAGGCAATCTGATCAGAAGATGAGAGATAATTAAAGCAAAAAAATAGGATTCAGTTGGCTTCCATGATCTTGCCAACATGGCTTCCAAGATGCAAACTATTTGCCTCTTAATTTGACTTTAGAGATCCACCCAATTATTGATCTTCTTTGAGCAGTTGATCTTTGATTTCCATCGTTATTCTATCTAGAATAGTCATTCTCCCATTGTCAATACGACTCTAGAGATCCACCTAGTTGTTGATCTTCTTTGCTGTTCAAAGAGTAGTTGATCTTTGATTTCCTTCACTCTTCTTTCAAGAATAGATCTCCTATTGTTGGTACTGTTGGGAGCAACCACATCACCACTACCTTCATTGTAACTCCAAAGCCAACAAGATATTTCCTTCACAATAGTGGAACTTCAAATAAATTAAAACTGAATACCATCAAAATTCTTGACTAAGAAACTTCCTTAACTATCAAAACCATTGTTATATACTCAACCTTTATTGGGGATAATATGATAATTGTCTAAAGTGTTGATATTTAGTTAAGTAGCCCCCCTCACAAGAGTAAATATATAACTGATGGTGTACCTTTGGTTATGTAAATTACCTGCAAAGTTTACATCAATAGATAGTGTTGATCCCTTGGTTTCAAAAGTTCTAAGTGAAAATTTATTTATGAATTATTCAAAAGATATATATATATATATAATATTCATTCATTTATATATTGATTTGATGAAGAATTATGTTACAAGGCTAGTATTATTGAGAGACATTCAAATATACATTGAAAATACTTGAAATAATCTAATTACTAATAACAAATCTAAGAAGTTATATCCTTGAGATATTTTCACCATCATGCTGTTCAAACATAAGTACATAAAAATAGGTGTCAACACATGTGATGAAGTCTCATATAAAATTAAGACATGCAAAGTCAACTATAGGATTAAAATGCAAGACATGAAGTTAAAAGTTTAAATGGAAAAAGCACCTAAAAAAACTCAAGGTTATAAAGTTGGGTGTAGGATTTGAACTCATAACTTAAGCAACTTAAAGGTTGAACTCATTGTAGCCAAAATATCTGAAAATCGAAGAAATGTAAAGTCATTGGCAAGATTTGAAATGGAGACTTTAGCAACATGTTATAAAGTTAATCAAAAAATACAAAGTAATATCAAAGGATTAGTGGCTATGACAAGATTTGAACTCCAATCCTAAACAATGGTAGAAATGAAGCATTTGTGCAAAGCCTTCACGAAAGCAAAGAAGTCTTTGTTACGTACCCTAGACAGTTACATGTCAATGTAATATGTGAAACAAATGACAAACCAAGTGAACTTATTCTGACTTGACCTTAGAAGGATAGACTACCATTGATGAATCACTTATTCCCAAACCAAGTTTTACATAGAATCTATGAGAGAACAACTCTCTAAACAAGAAATCACCAAAGGTCGACATCACACATTCTAAATGGTATGTTAACATAATACATAGGCAAAATGACAAGCTCACTGACTTTCTTCGAGCTCAACCTTGAAAGTAAAAATATATATTGATATATTATAAATCTTCAAATAAAATATCAAGGACAATTAACACGATAAAAGTAAGTTTCTAACTAAAGAATAAGAAATGTATGTTAACTCACTGATCGAGTAATGGATAGGATTTAAATTTGTGTAACCATTTTTCAAGTAATGAAAATACAAGAAGACGTTGGAGAATATAAGGAGAAAACTTTTGAAAAAAATAACTAATGTTGAATGAAGAAATTAATTCATCTACTCATTCACTTTCAAAGGGAGAAACTATTCCATTCATCAAAGGTAAGTCACCATGCACTTCAAAAAAATAGTTGAAAGTTGTATCATATAACTCACTCTACTGTGGAAATTTAAGTCAACTACTACTTCAAAGGTGAAATGTGGGCTTGGACTTAGACTTGTGGTTCAGGTTGGTGAAATGGCGGGTCAGGTGGGCTGGGCTGGCAGGACTGGTGAGCGGGGCCAATGATTGACCATCTTAAAATGGTCGCTGCCGAAGCCCTAATTCGGGCATTTCGCCCGCAACTCAATGCTGGCAGCATGGGCCGTGGTGGCAAAAGGCGGAGGCGGCAGCGGCGAGTGAGCGGTGGCGGCGGGAGGTTGCGGCAGCGTGCAAGTGATGGTGCTGGAGACGGGGAACGGCGGAACGGCGGAACGGCGGTGGCGGAAGGAGAAGGCAACGACGGAGGCAGGTGGAAGGTAGGACGGCGGCACCGGAGGGGGCAGCGACGATGAAAGCGGCCGAAAGGCGGGACGGCGACACTGGAGGGAGACGGCAACGATGTGGCGGCTCATCAGGGGTGAAGCGGAGGAAGCAAGAAGGGCGGTGGCACCCGGAGGACACGCGACGAGGGTGCGTCAGGCTGCAAGCTCTGACCGGGAGCGCGGGGTCCTCTTGACCAACCCCTTAACCAGGGGCGACGGTGGTCCTCTCCACCATCCTACTGACCGGGGATGATGGGGTCCTCTCGACCATCCCACTAACCAAATAAACTCTTATTCTTTTTCTCCTTCCTTCCAATCGTTAGTATTGTACGTAAAATAAAAGTTAAATATGTACAGGTAACATCAGCTATTTTCCAGTATTATTACAAAAAGGTGAATTTTGATAGGATGCAAGGTAAAGGCTCGATGGCTAAGAGAGTAAGAGAATAAAGAAGGACGAAGGAAAGAAGAAAGATGACCAAAGTCCAAAGCAAGCTGGCTTATAACGAAAAATGAAGTGCCATGAGAATGGGCATTTGGAAAATTATTTTTCTAAATTAATTGTGGCAAGATTATTAAGAATCACTCTTCTAATTCTAAAAATGTTGTGAATAATTAATCAGAAAGTAATGTAGGGAACATGGTCTCATTATTTATTGTTACTAATAAATGTACATATTCATGGATTTTAGATTTTAGTTGTTTATATCACACAAGTACAAGTTTAGTTTGGTTTGATACATGACTGTTATAATATGTTCAAATTAATTTACATATTTCTACAAACGTAAAAATTTATTAGCTCTTCTTGTCGGATTTAAGGTTGTATTCAAGGGGGCTTGATTTAATCAACTTTTAGTCCTTTAATTCCAATTTGTTCTCTTTGAATTTATTTACCTTTACCTCAAAATTCTAAGTTCTATAGTCTTTCTAGGTTAAACGAGTAAGGCTAAGGGAGTTTTAAATTGGTTTGGTGCACCACCTATCTCTAGTCTCCAAGAATAATTTTTGTTCTCAAGTTCCACTAAGATTCATCATTTCATCACAATAGCTAATTACTAGGTTCAACTCCCTTAAAATTTCTCTTATAAATTTTCCTCTAGATTCATGGCTCTTTGTTACCAAAAATTAATTAACATGTTCAGCTCCTTAAAGATAGAAATAATATGAAAGTTTTTACTAAGGATTGATTTTTGAAGTATGATATCAACTTTGAGTGTGGCTACAAATTTGATGAAAAAGATGAATCTCTTATATCAATTTGGTGATTGTAAACAAAATGATCAAATTTGAAATATTTATAAACTCAATTCAAAATTATACTTAAAATTTTATTTTGGTGAATTGAAGTTGTCAAGAGAGATGATGGTCAATTTCAATATGATTTTTTTATTATAAATAATTTATTAAAAATTATTAATAATAAAATAATATTTTCTGTGCTTTAAATCTCCCAAACTTCTTTGAATTTTGATGTGTTCCCACATTCAGCATTAATAGGTGATTCAAGACATGACAAATATTTTAAGGAAACTCACAAAGAGAATAACAAAATAGAAGAAAGTCAAATGATGAAAAATAGACCTAAACCCGATAAGCAAGGTGGGGAAGCATCTTTTCGTTCAGCCCATAAGTTGTCCAAGCCATTGGTGATTTCCAGTAGCACTATCTCCACAACTTTGAAAGCATTTACAGAACAGTCAAACGTTTTAATAGTAGACCGTAAGCAAAGGATGCAATCCAATCGAAAGGCACTGGAAGTTCTTTTATAATATCCAACAGATGTTCATTATAGCTCATTCATCATATGCATTACATCAGCAAGGTCTAGCTTTGTTCAACGATGTAAACAATATTTTTGCGGTTGGAAACCAAAGGCCCATCTTAGATAGTAACCGCTCGCATAATATTGTGTTAAGGAATAGACAATTCAACTTAAATTTGTTCATTATGAGTAAAATAGGGCAGCATATTTTTGTGACGTGTCTGATATCCTCAAATGTGATCATAGTCCAAAAATTTCTTACTGGTCTGTAGATGAGGAAGCTGCTGAATATGTTCCAGAAGTTGAAGAAGAGAACCATTATAATTGTAGCGAGTTGACATGAACGGTAATTGCTTTGGACATCATCCTGTGCGTCGCAAAGTAGAGAAAGCACATGAACACCGGGAGAATGAACCACAGGAATTTGTCCACCTCCCAGCTAAATGTTGTCATCGAGTAACATATATAAGGCACTAAAGGAGGGCTTGAGATCCTATTTAGATAGTCTCGATGCTCACCGACCCAGAACATGAACGGTGTTATCAATTGATAGTCAAACGTGATGCGTACCTTAGAAAAGAGAAAAAAGTGGTAAATTATGAGAAATGGGTGGAAATTTTCCTAACTTGAGCGAAAGCATGGGCAAGGCCGAATACACGCCCGCAGCTCTCTCACAGTAGAAAACTGTCCTCTCAATACCCACAATCGGCTGCACCGTTGTGCCAATGGTGAATCCAAGGAAGAAGGCAAAACAGTACACAGCTCCTATCAGATTCAACATGTCTTGTTGGGTCTTCCTGTTTGCATCATCGGATGTTATAATATTAAGGTACACTTTAATGGGGCTATCTGAAAGAAATGTAGTAACCTAAGGGTCACTTACGTCTGCTGCCCCTTGTTCCAGGTGCCAAATAAAAGACCCATAATGACTGTGGTGAAGAATCTAACGGCTTTGAATGAGGGGTTCCTCAAGTAAGACAGTACCGTTTCCAGAAGCAGGGCGTAATTGGGTCGCGAAGCTCTGGGCGTACTTCGCGGGAAAGAGAAGTGCTCAGCTCCTCGTTAATTTCCTGATTTTTCCTGGATTGTTCTGGCCTAGAAAAAGGACCTTCTTCATTCAGGAGATGTGCCAGATCAAAAATTTTCAATTCACAGGACTGCGTCTCATCAAACTTACTGATAAAGCAAAGATCTTGTGTAAACGTCTGCCAAATCTAGGTTGAGGTTAGCTTCTACTGAAGGAGTGCTGATTTCGAGCATCCACGCCGCATGACTTTGACCCTTCTCGATCTTGGAAACCTCTGGAATCGCCTGCAAAAACAGTAGTAGTTGAAGGATAGGGCGGTGCCATTGTATGGTCATGAATTAAGAAATTCCAAAGTCCAGTGGGAAAAAAGGTTGTTGTGTGGTTAGAATTACCTCGTCGTAGTTACTGACCCATCCAACTGAAACTCACTCACAATGAATGGACTACCAACTTGATATAAAACAAATAGGGAACTATTCTAACATGGGAGATAGGGCTAAGGAATAATCAAATAAAAAGTAATGTTCCAAGGTAGATACTAATGGGCAGGTTGGACTGTTGGCATGTGGAATCCTTGGTGTCACTGTGACGTGTGTCACAAAAGGCCTAAAGAAAATTCAAAGATGTAGTTTAAACTCTTTTGCTTAGCTTTAAACAGGAGAGAAATAATTGGCAATTGTAGATGTCAAGAGAAGGTTCAACCGGTTTTTTGGCTCTTCAATACTTCTTCATGAGCAAGTTTACTTCTGTTCGTTAACTCTGTAAAACTCGGATAACAATTATTACTTCGTCCTTCATCATGTACTACGCTACTCAAGATGATACCTTCTGCAGTGCCTCGGCACTCTTTCTTGGAAGCGCGTAGGTAAGGGAGGAGATAGAGAGCTAACAGAGGGAGGTCAGTCGCAGCGGCGTTGGCAAGAATGGAAACAGAATGTCGGGGAAGCCTAGACTGATGTTGCTGAATGGTCTGGATGCTGCGAAACGTAGTATCAGGGTTTGTAGCCTGGCGGACGGGTGAAGAGTAGCAGGGTTTGTAGGGAAAGTAACTGTGGTCAAGCTGTTTCAGGGCCAAGTAACCTAACAAGAACTCACGACCTTTCTTTACCATTAAGTAATAAAACTAAACTAAAATGTTACATACTTGTATATTTCCTGTTTGCATTCATGTACATCCGTTTTAATTATTAATTATTCTGGAGGATAGTTTTTTAGCAAAATAATGGTCCATGTGTTGCTCGCATAAATAGATAATCACTTGTAAGGGCTCCTTTGATTCTAGCTCGGGCATCAGTGCCCCACCAGTGCTCAGTCGTTTCCTCTGTTCCCCGGAGATTTCCCTCTTCATATCGTCACCGACTAAGATATCAGGACACACATCCAGTCCGAGCATCTATCCACGTAATAGTCGGCAGATCGATCGATCATCTATCCGTATTTATTTTAATATAGTAACTAAAAAGAACAAGTCGCAAACGGGCGAGTATAAATCTTTAGGAGGTACTCCGTAGAAAGACGTTCACCCTGGTCTCGTGACAAGGCCATCTTCATGAATGAATCAAATTCACGGTCCGGCTTTATGCCCCTCTCTTGCTCCTACCTAGATAGCTACGACAGCATCTTGTACCTCGTTCCGACGCCAGGCACAGCCCAGAGAAGTCAATAGTCCCTCTAACTGTCATCCCGCCAAGGTGAAGGTCTCGTTGACTGATGTAGGCACTGGTTCTCTGAGGGACGAACTCCGTCATCTCGTGGCCACAGTATGTGACCCGGCCACTACCTGTTAAATGATTTGATGCCAGTCAAACAATATAGGGCTCCGATAGAGCAGAGATTAACTAAGTTAGAGTTTAACCTAAGGCTCTTGTCCAGCTTCCTTGAAAGAACCAGTAATAGAGTGGTCTTCCCTGCCCCGGGGGAGTCTAGGAGCAGCGTCATCCTGAACGAATGTACTAATCGGGAGGTTTCTAAGAGGGAGAATGACCGGGGAAAATATTTTATTATAAATAGCGTACAATATTTCCCCTCTTTCAATCAAATACTACTGCGTAGAGGTGTTCTATGGAAGAACAGTTGTAAGAGTAATAAAATAACAGTTTACATTTTATGATCCTACTCTACAATTCTGTGTGCAGAGTAACTAATCAGAATGGGGGTGGGCAGCTATTTATCAGAAAAAGCGTAAAATATTTCTCTTTTTCCTCAAATAATATTGGCTACAAGTCATTGGGAATAATATTTACAAGAATAAGAATAATAAAATAACATCCGTTAAACTCTTTGTTTTGATAATTGTTCATTTTCAAACAGAGATTTGTGATCCTAGTCTTTAATTATGTGTGTAGCTTTTCCAGAAGGAACAATTATACTTAACTAATGATATCAATATCTGATTTATTTCTTACTACTCTGGGTTTCATTGAGATGACTCGGGGACATACCTTGAAGGTTGCAAAATTCCCGAGACGCTAGTCAGGATCTTGTTGACCATTTTCTTCGACTGGGAGGCACCGGACAATCCGACCATTCCCTGTGGAATGTTACGGAGATACACCACCCAAGTTCTCGAAAACTTAATTGTAATAGAGCCCGGAAAGGAAGAATCCATAAGGAAATATAGCAGAGAAGATGACAAGGAAATTCGGACCTCGATTGCGTTGACGGCGGAGTTTAATAGGGTGGGAAGAGCCCTCGTCCCCACGTATGCGTCTGCCTCCAGGGACAAATTCTCTTACCGGACTTCAGTCTGCTGTTTCACGTGTCATAAATAGGTCCAATTTCATCAGGAATATACGCACACGTCTATTTTATATTGTGAAGAGAAATATCAACCTCTCCATCCTTTTCCTGAGGCGGGGGAGTCGTTCATTCTCCTCCTCGACAACCTGCGGAAAATGCTCTACTAGGATCTTCTTGTCCAGGTCGCCGAGAGTGGCGACATCAACGGCATCATCGTCAACTGACTTCTGCGGTACAAACTCCCGCCGCGACCCGAGTAGCCTCTCAAGGGCTGCCCGTTGGAGATCGGCCTCATCATCCTCGTCGTGACCCCTGGAGTGGAACAAATCCGATGGGTTGCTCCCCAACTCACGAAAGCTCCCAGAAACACAGCGGGCCCAACTCCTACTGCTACTGCCACCAGAATGGGTGAGATCACCCGCAGCCATGGGTTCTCTTGCCCTGCCTTTCGTGCATGATATGACCCCCGAGTGATCTTCTACAGCTCAAGCAGGACGGCGGTAGGGAAGTAACCTTACCTTGCCACCTCCACTGGTTCTTCATACCACAACCATCTACAGAACAAGTGATAATCTTCTGAAGTTGAAAAGGAGGTCCAGCTAAAGCTAGATTACGACATAAAAAAGAGTTGGAGCGAAAATAATGGCAGTAGAAGTTGTAGGAGGAAAAAGAACAAGAGGAGAGGATGGAGCACTTGAAGATCTTATCAGCCTTGGAGGATACAAGAGGTATCTAAAAGAGGAAGTATGGGGAGACGGATAAGAATGGGAGCTCCTGAACGTCTATTTATCAATCGTGGAGGCTGGAAGAGCGAGGGCCAGACGAGAAGAAGACGAATGACAAATGCCCAGGTGTATGGACAAAATCTTGGGGAGCAAAGAAGTAATCATCAACGAAGTTGGGCTGGTGCTCCACACCACCTCTTAGTCATTGCTTTCCAAATTAAAATCGATCACATAAAATCATAAGGATCACTACGAACCGTGTGATTACGCATTACGGTGTCATCACCACCCTTGGTTAGTGACGAAATGTTTGGAAGAAACTTCGTACTTTGTGATTTTCTTGTCCTTAATCTTCCCCTTTGGCATCAAGTTTCTCAATTTCCAAAGGTGATAGGGGCCTGTACATTTTGGAAACTTATGTGATAAAATAACAAATAAATAATATTTTGAGGAACCACTAACGACAATGCTCGCAAGAGCAAACCTAGAGAGAATTCAGAGATGATTTAACCCATACGGATAAGCAAAGTAGAACTCAATTATATGATTTTCCTAACTACATGCAAAAGGACGAAAATAAAAATGTTTTGGTAACATGAGAGACCTGATTTTTTTAATATTTTTTAAAAAAATCTGAATGCTCGTTAGAACATGTAAGTCTTCTTTCTTCATTTCTCGTAGTTACAGTGCATTCAAACTTTCATTTGAACTTTTGGTTTGATGTGATGTTTATCATTGAAGTCAGGACAGTCGTAGAATCTTAAAAAAGTTACTAACTTTCTTAGCATTCTCTTTTACCTAAAACCATGACAAACCAATGGTAAATAATAGTTTAGAATGTTAATAAATATCAAGAATTGTGATGTGATAGTTAAAAATCATAGATTCGAAGTTAATATGCATCATTTTAATATTTTTAGTTTGACTTTATAAAAAAAAATCACTTCGTTGTTATTGGTGTAAGACCATAGGTTGTTGTCATAAAAGACAGCATTTTTTAATTTGAAATCATGCAGAAATGCTAGGAATCTTCATTTAGATGGTAAAAAATAAGTTCATCTTTATACAGGTTGTAAAACCTATCCAATTCAACTGAAGAACGAACAGAATGTTTACACCTTTACAAGAAGAGATTGAAGGTTTGAAGTGAGCATAGGTCCTCATTTAAGTGGAGAAAAAGCTATTCTTTCATAAATAATAACTGAATTTAGATAATTAATACTAGGTTAATCGAGAACCAAAAAATGCTACAAAGAAATGTCGAATACCTAAACATTAGCTAGGAAGCTAGATCATTACTTCAGTGGCTTGTCAAGGCCAGTCCATACAGATTCCTAAGGAAGCTGGGAAGCATTAAGAGTGTTACTGGGTTAATGGACTAGTTCCCTCTTAGTTGGCGGAACAAGAAAAAGTTGATCCCTTGATGCTTCAGGAAGCAATAACCCCCTTGTCCAAGACAAGGATACGCGAGCGTTTACTCTAGCCAACAAGTTAAACTGAGGATGTCAGAAAAGGGTGTCAGGCCAAGTTCTGTCCATAACTACGCTTGTCGTTCCAGCAGGGTGATTTGACCAACAAATCACTATCCAATAATCTTATAGGTAGTCCAGGAGATTGGTCTAGCTGAGAGATTTGAGCAAATTCTTGACTGACTGCACTAGGGAGCCTTGTGTATGAAAGAGACGAAAAGACCCTTGTATTGGGAGTTTGTGGCACCATATCCCAAGCCTTACCATCTTTGGAGCTCACTTCTTTCGTCCCACTCGTTCTAATGGGGAAGACGGCGAGCTAGATTGGTGGCCCGTGCGAGGGGATGGCGTGCTGTTACCTCTTCACCAACGCCCATTTCTAGATAGGCTCCGACAGCACCATCGGCTATCATGAGGTCTTCCATCATCCTCTTCTTGGTCATGTTCCCCCTTGGAATCTGGGGTAGTGACAGCATTTTCATTGTGTGATTCTGATCGGCTCCCATTAACGTGGTCAAGGTCGTAGCTCGTTGACTGTGCACACAAGACCCAACTCTACGTCTCACTGACCAAGTCCGCCGTGAAGTGAGCTCGTGCGAACCGGAAGAGGGCATAATGGGGGGAAAAATGGGTAGAGAGAGGAGGAAAGAGGAGCAAGAGGATGAAGATGAACCCAATGAAGATGAAAACAATACAAACTAAGACCACCGGTCTTGGGGTCGCCAATAGAAGATGGTGAGTCTCCAGGTCCTGAAAGAGTTTCTTTACATGATTTTTCTCCTTCTCTACTGAGGTTGTTCCTTCTTCACTATAGCCATCCTTGATGGAACTTATCACGAGATAGGATCCGTCGGGCATCGAATCCTATCATTTGAGCAGGATCCGTTGCAAGTTCTCATGACCCATTATCTTGCAGTCCGCTCGGGCTGCTGGACTATAGCACTTGATTGGGCTGGTTTTGTCGAGACCGCACTCTCCTCGGCCCAGTTCCTACTGTCGGGCCTCTTCAATACTCTCCTCTCAATTTCACATCTTGTCCTCAAACTGCAATTCAAGTGACTCTGAGCTACACGATCTCACCGTCTTCCGCGGTCTAGGAAGAGCTCCTCTACTTCGAGTCAGTGGGGCAGAATAGAATATTCAGCTCACGACTGCACCACCGATGGCCATGCACGAACTTCTCATCGTAGTGGAAGTAGAGGCCTTGGACCCTTTGGGCCTAGAATTCTACCAATGTGAGGTGCACCCGTCGTCGCCGATCTGCTGGAGGCGCACCAACTGTGGGGGCCGCCGTGCTTGCCGTAGGTGGCGCCAGGCCTTGTTCTCCTTTGTAGTTGCTCGTGCCGGTTGGCGGGGGGCATAGCGAGCACTCATCATACGTCGAGGGTACTCTCTCCGAGCCTCTGCCCTGCTGCGGTCACCCTCTGCTCGGCACCATTAGCAACTTAGTTTCAATCTTCTAGGCCTCTTGCATTATTGCCTCCAAGCCTCGTGAGTTGAGGGTGATCACTTCTTCCTGTATCTCCCGCCGTAAATCCTTAACGAAGTTTGTTTCCAAGATAGTATCTAGCACATCATGGAGGACACCAGATAGTAGTTCAAACTACTCCCAATAGTCCACTGAACCTATCTGCTCAAGTTCGCGGCATATGGAGCTTGAAAGCTTGTCTCCGTAGCATTCCAGCAGCCTATATTTTAAGTCTTCCCAGCTGCAGAACGGCTGCTGAGATTCGACCCACTGAAGCCAATGGAGAGCCTTCCCGTCCATGCTGATGCAAGCCTCCGCTAGTTTCTCGGGTGTCGTCAGTCACTAGATGGAGAAGTAGAGCTCCACATGATATATCCACCCTTCTTGGTCTGAGCTTGCAAATATTGGAAATTCTAGTTGTCGTTTGGGGTTGGGTTCTGGTGGGTTCCTCAAATGGTCAGTGGCTCCGTTACGGCCTTCGTGGTTCACAAATGGCTCCTCTCAGTGATCGGGTTCTCTTGTCCCCATTGGTTGAGGACCGGCGTTGGTTTTATCGTTGGCCCATTGTGCTGATGGTTTTATTGGGGTCACCGATTTTTCCACTCTGCCTTGGGGGAGGTCCAGTTGCAGCTAGATGGCATCTAGTATCTGAGCAAGTGATCCTAGCTGTTGGTGCACATTGGTTAGGTCGGACTGTAGTGCATGCAGCTGATCTGCATTTGTCACTTGCTTGGAGTAGGTAAGGAGCCGGAACTCCTCAAGCTCCTTCTCTAGAGAATCTAACTTAGGATCTATTAGTTTGGGCCCCATGAGGCTCTAACACTTGATGGGCTCCCATTGGTCCTGGCTCATTGACTGCACACACAAGACCCAACTCTATGTCTCACTGACCGAGTCCGCCGTGAAGTGAGCTCTTGTGGACCAGAAGAGGGTGTAAATAGGGGGAAAAATGGGTTAGAGAGAGGAGTAAAGAGAAGCAAGAGGAGGAAGATGAACTCGATGAAGACGAAAGCAATACAAACCAAGACCACCGGTCTTCGGGTGCCGGTACAAGATAGCTAGTCTCCAACTCTCGAAAGAGTTTCCTTACATGATTTACTCGAAAGAGATTAACAGCATCATTCCTTGGAAAATTCGAGAGCAAAAAGGACTTCGGCCTTTGAACTCAACAAGTAACCAACCACATCTGACGTTCTCTACTAGTGAAAATGGTAGCCATGGATACCATGAAAAATCTAGTGCTGTCTTCAACAACTTGTCTGGTATGATCCCCAATGCTAGACAGTTCAAACCTTTTTGGAGAGAAGTTAAAAAGGTAATCTAGGATTTTTTGGAAAACCCCTTGAAAAAGCTTGTCCTTGTAATGAGGAGAGAGCAAAAAGGATGGCAAAAGATGGATAAAACAAGGCCAATTCAGGAGATTTGGATACTTTTTATTTTATTCACCTGTTACTGTTTCATTTATTTTGATATTTTGCGGTTTATTTATTTTTAATAATAGTTGGAGGATGAAATATTTCAAAATAGTTGATAAATACTACAACATGAACCTAGGGGACCTTTACAATTTCATGTTCGAGATAATATGTTTGTATGGACATGAAGGTTGTCAGGTGAACTATTAATCCTTTTTTGTAAGTATTGTGTGAATGATTTTGTATGATAATCTCTAGTGGATTGTAGTGACTTTTCTTACAGATGCTTTCCGGTGGTTATAGCCTTGGGAAAATATCATATCCTACTATAATGGTAAACTACCTTATGTC